GGCTTTGAAATTTTAAAAAATGGAGGTGGGTATGGTCGCTCATGCCTGTAATCCCAGCTCTTTGGGAGGTGGAGGGGAGAGGATTGTCTGAGCCTGGGAGTTCGAGACCATCCTGGGCAACATGACAAGACCTCGTCCCTACAATAAATCAAAAAATTAGCTGGCATAGTGGCTTGCGCCTGTAGTTCCAGTTACCTGGAAGGCTGAGCCGGAAGGACTGCCTGAGCCCAGTAGGTTAAGGCTGTGGTGGCTTTGAGGGTGCCACTGCACTCCAGCCTGGGTGACAGAGTGAGACGCTGAAAAAATTTAAAAAGTTTTATTTGATAATACATCCCTCCTCTTCTCCTTTCTCCCTGCCCATTTTCTCTGTTTTCTGTTTATGGAACTCCAGTTAGTCAGATTTTGGGGCCTGAGTTGAAACTCTAGTTTTTTTCCCACCTCTTTTTGTTTTACTTTCTGGGAAATTTTGCTTTTCTTCTTTCTTTCTTTTCTTTTCTTTTTTTTTTTTTTGAGTCAGAGTCTCACTCTGTTGCCCAGGTTGGAGTGCAGTGGCATGCTCATAGCTACTGCAGCCTTGATCTGCTGGACTCAGGCTATCTTTCCACTTCAGACTTCTAAGTAGCTGGGACTACAGGCGTGCATACCACCACGCCTGGCTAACTTTTTGACTGGTCTCGAACTCATGGGCTCAGGCAATCCTGTCACTTTGGTCTCCCAAAGTGCTGGGATTATAGGCATGAGCCACTATGCCCGGCCCTGGGAAATTTTCTTGCCCTGGGAAATTTTCTTAACTGTTTTCAAGTCTTTTTTTTTTTTAAGTTGGCTATCATACTGTGAATTTTCAGATGCTAGTTCTTAACTTGTTCTCATTTATTTATTTATTTATTTATTTGAGACAAGGTCTTACTCTGTCACCCATGCTGGAGTGCAATGATACGATCACAGCTTACTGCAGACTCGACCTCCTGGGCTCAAGTGATCCTGCCACCTCAGCCTTCCCAGCAGCTGGGACTATAGGTGCATGCCACCACATTCAGCTATTTTTTTTTTTTTTTATTTGGAGTCTCACAATGTGTTCAGGCTGAAGTGCAGTGGCATGCTCACAGCCACCACAGCCTTGACCTTCCAAATAGCTGGAGCCACAGGCATGTGCCACCACACCCGTTGATTTTTAAATTTTTGAGAGACAAGTGTTCACCAAGTTGCCCATGCTGGTCTTGAACCCCTGGGTTCAAGCAATCCTCTCATCTCTGCCTCCCAAAGTGCTGGAATTTACATTCGTGAGCCACTGCTCTCGGCTGCAGCATTCTTTTTATTTTTTTCAGTTGGAGTCTCACTCTGTCACCCAGACGAGTGCAGTGGCTGCTCCCGACCACCGCAGCCTTGACCTGCTGGGCTCCGGCGATCCTTCCACCTCAGCCTTCCGAGCAGCCGGAGTTACAGGCACGTGCTACCACGCCCGGCTGATTTTTTGATTTATTGTAGAGATGAGGTCTCGCTGCCCAGGCGGGTCTCGAACCCGCGGGCTCAGGCAATCCACTCACCTCAGCCTCCCAAAGGCGTGGGATTACAGGCTGAGCCACCGAGCCCGGCCCTTTTTTTTTTGAGTCAAAGTCCTACTCTTTGCCTAGGCTGGAGTGCAGTGGCATGCTCACCACCACCACAGCCTCGACCTACCGGGCTCAGGCAATCCTTCCACCTCAGCCTTTCAAGTAGCTGGAACCACAGGCCCGTGTGCTCCACCACACCCAACTAATTAAAATTTTTTTAGTGTATTGTCTTAACTAATGCATCAGGTTTTTTTAATTTTTATTTTTTAGGTACTTGAAGCCTGGTTTGTTGAAAACCAAGCTTATCAACCCCAGTTTTGCTTTTAATGGAACAATGATTAAATGGATGAACCTGGAGCCTATTTCCCCTAGCAAACCTGACATGTTGGACAGGGTGTCTACCTTATTCCTGGCTCAACCTCTGGTCTTTCTCCTCACCTACTGACATGTTTTTCATTGCATCACACCTAGGAACCATTACCAAATCTGGGTTTGTAATACCTATAGCCACATCTAGTACATACACCTTCATAATTAATTTCTGTGACTATTTGATTGGCCTGATTCCCTCATCAGACTGGAGGCCATAACTTTTCTCTGCCCTAGTCTCGGGTATCACTCAGATTTACCAAATAGCAGCTGAGTCACTGGGAACCCTAGTGACTCAGAGCCTTGTTCTCTGAACCATAGGCTCCCCGCCTTCGTAAGCAGAAGTTATGCAACGGTGACCTCTATTGACCAAAGGAAGAAACTGCACACACCCTCCTCCCTTCTAGGACGGTGAAATAACCAACATAGTCCCTGCTACTTGCCAGGCATTTCACATGTATTATATGCCACTATCCTTGGATTTGTAATATTTACAAGATGGGCATCATCACCCCCACTTTATAGTTGAGTAAAATAATTCAGAGAGGGCGTGCACAGTGGCTCACGCCTATCATCCCAGCACTTTGGGAGGCTGAGGTAAGAGGATTGCCTCAGTCCACGGGTTCAAGACCAGCCTGGGCAACTTGGAGAGCCCTCATCTCTACAAAAAATTAGCCAGGCATGGTGGCGTGTGCCTGCAGTTCCAGCAACTTGGATGACTGAGGCAGAAGGATCACCTGAGCCCAGCAGGTTGAGGCTGTGGTGGCCGTGAATATGCCACTGACCCCCAGCCTGGGTGACAGAGTGAGACTCCAACTCGAAAAAAAAAAAAAGATATCAGAGGTGAACCAACTCCCTGGGTTCTCACAGTGTAAGAGGCATGGTTGGGGTTCAAGCCAGGTCAGAATGATGCCTAAGACTTTGCTCTCTCCACCAGGTCCCTGCTACTCAGAGAATGACCCAAGGACCACCAGAGCTCTGAGAGTGTCAACTATACAGACCTCGGGCTCCATTTCCAGACCTGTTGAGTCAGAATGTGTAACCCCTGGCAATCTGTGGTGATGAATATGCATGTTTTTTTGTTTTTGAGTTGGCGTCTCACTCTGTCACCCAGACTGGAGTGCAGTGGCCGCTCCCGGCCACCGCAGCCTCGACCTGCTGGGCTCCGGCGATCCTTCCGCCTCAGCCTTCTACGTAGCTGGAACTTCAGGCGCATGCTACCACACCCGGCTAATTTTTTTATTTTTATTGTAGAGATGAGGTCTCACCAAGTTGCCCAGGCGGGTCTCGAACCCTCAGGCTCAGGCAATCCACTCACCTCAGCCTCCCAAAGCACGGGATTACAGGCTGAGCCACCGAGTCTGGCAAATATGCATGTTAAAGATGAGAAGTACCCTGAATCTCAGGAGGTGGTGGGAAACACCAGCATGTGTTGTCTTGAGAAGCTGAGTTTGCAAATTTTTTTCTTTGAGTCAGAGTCTCACTCTGTTGCCTAGGTTGGAGTGCAGTGACACTCTCACGGCCACTGTACCTCGACCTATTGGGCTCAGGTGATCCTTCCACCCCATGCAAGGCTAATTTTTTGATTTGTTGTAGAGATGAGGTCTCACCAAGTTGCCCAGGCTGGTTTCAAACCCATGGGTTCAGGCAATTCTCTCACCTTGGCCTCCCAAAGTGCTGGGATTATAGGTGTGAGTCACCACACCCAGCTGCACATTTATTTTGTAAACGTGGCCTTTGGCACATGTAATTTTTCAAGTACTTTTTCCTCTGTCTCCCCTTTATCTTGTGAGGTAAATAAGGTAAGAGATTGTCATTCCCATTTTATTTTTTTTGAGTTGGAGTCTCAGTCTGTCACCCAGGCTGGTGTGCAGTGGCACGCTCCTGGCCACCACAGCCTTGACCTGTTGAGCTCAGGCAATCCTTCTGCCTCAGCCTTCCAAGTAGCCAGAACTACAGGCGTGCACTATCACACCCAGCTAACTTTTTGATTTATTGTAGAGGTGAGGTCTCACCATGTTGCGCAGGCTGGTCCTGAACCCACAGGCTCAGGCAATTCTCTCATGTCAGCCTCCCAAAGTGCTGGGATTATAGGCATGAACCGCTGCGCCTGGCCCATTCCCATTTTAGAGATAGAGAAACAGAGGCCTAGAGAGTTGAAGCAACTTGTTCAGAGCTACTAGCCAACAGGTACTCCATCACTTGATGTGGACTGGCTCAGAGGGGATCCGATGCTGGTGCCAGAATGGAGGTTGTAGGTCTCTGGGCTTGCCTTTTGGGATCAGAAATCACCAGGCTGCACGCCTGTAGTCCCAGCACTGGGAGGCGGAGGTGAGAGGATTACCCGAGCCCAGGAGTTCAAGACCAGTCTGGGCAACTTGGCAAGACCTGGTCTCTACAATAAATCAAAAAAATTAGCCAGGCGTGTGGTGTGCACCTGTGGTTCCAGGTACTTGGAAGGCTGAGATAGAAGGATCACCTGATCAGGCTCAGCAGGTCGAGGCTACGGTGGCTGTGAGGGTGCCACTGCACTCCAGCTTGGTTGACAGAGTGGGACTCAGACTCTAAAACAAAAAAACAAAAAATCACCAGGCTGGCTCTGAGGGAGCCCTCGGCTCACTTCCTTTTTTTTTTTGAGTTGGAGACTCACTCTGTCATCCAGACTGGAGTGCAGTGGCCACTCCCGGCCACTGCAGCCTTGACCTACTGGGCTTCGGCGATCCTTCCGCCTCAGCCTTCCAAGTGGCTGGAACTACAGGTGCGCGCTACCACGCCCGGCTAGTTTTTTTATTTATTGTAGAGATGAAGTCTCGCCAAGTTGCCCAGGCGGGTCTTGAACACCTGGGCTCAGGCAGTCCACTCACCTCAGCCTCCCAAGTGCAGGATTACAGGCTGAGCCACTGAGCCCAGCTGCTCACTTCTTTATTCATCCTAGCTAGGAGCACATCCAGTAGCTGGGTGCGGTGACTCATGCCTATTATCCCAGCACTTTGGGAGGCCGAGGTGAGAGGATTGAGACCAGCCTGGGCAACTTGGTGAGACCTTATCTCTACAATCAATCAAAAAATTAGCCAGGTATCGGTGGGAGCGGCCAGCTGGCGGCAAGAGCCGTAATGGGACTGGGGCTGCCAATTAAGCCTGATCAAGATGACAACCTCCCAAAAGCATCGAGACTTCGTGGCAGAGCCCATGGGAGAAAAGCCAGTGGGGAGTCTGGCCAAGATTGGTGAAGTCCTGGGCAAGAAGCTGGAGGAAAGAGGCTTTGACAAGGCCTATGTGGTCTTTGGCCAGTTTCTGGTGCTAAAGAAAGATGAAGATCTCTTCCGGGAAAGGCTGAAGAACACATGTGGTGCCAATGCCAAGCAGTCGCGGGACTGCTTTGGATGTCTTTGAGAGTGGTGCAACGCCTTCTTGTGATGCTCTTTGGGGAACCCTCCAGCCCCAGCCCTAGCTTTGAGTCTCCAGAGTTTGCAGCCGAGTAGGGACTCTTCCCCTGTCCTCTACAAAGGAAAAGATTGCTGTGGTTGTACTCACCTCTGACGTACTCCAGGGTCTTTTGGGAGTTTCTCCCCTAACCATTTCAACTTTTTTGGAATTTTCACTCTTGCATGCATCTCCCTTCCTTCTTCCCCTGCCAGTTTTCTGGTGAAAGTTGTGAGCTTTCCTGAGTGGATTCCTGGCCCCTTCCCTTACCCCCATCCTCACCTCCTGTCTGTTTGATACCATTTGGCTCCTTTTTTGGCAAGAATAGTCACTGTCCTCGTAAAGTTTTTTAGCTCAATAAAGTCAGTGGCCTTCAAAAAAAAAATTAGCCAGGTGTGGTGGTGCATGCCTGTGGTTCCAGCTCCTTGGAAGGCTGAAGCGGAAGGATCGCCTGAGCCCAGCAGGTCAAGGCTGTGGGGAGCCTGCCACTCTCCGCCAGCCTGGTAAAACAGTGAGACTCCAACTCAAAAAAAAAAAAAAGAGCACATTCAGTTTTATGACTTGTGTGACTATGGGCAAACCACTTAGCCTCTGGGATCATTGGCTTCTAGTTGTAAAGACAAAATGAGGATGATGCAAGTAAAGTGCTGACTGTACAAGAACTCAGCAGGTCATTGCTTTTGTTAAGCTCTTGCCAAGCCATGTGTTCATTGAGCTACAGCCGCTATGCTTTCCTAAACTTTGTTCCCTTCCCCTGTGTTGGGAAGATGAGTCTTTTCTTCCTCGAATCTACTTTCTAAATAAATTATATTTTCCAATCTTAAAAAAAAAGAACTCAGTCAATGCTGCTATTCATTCATTCATTAACTATCGAGCACTTGCTTACTACGTGCCACTGGGCTAAGATGCCCGTTGAATAGGGTGGGCCTGCTCCCATGGAGTTTACAGCCTAATGGGGAGACAGACATTGATTAAGTGCTTACAAATATATGAAGCACTAGGATGAGGATGTCTTTTTTTTTGAGCTGAAGTCTCACTCCTGTTGCCCAGGCTGGAGTGCAGTGGCATGCTCACGGCCACCGCAGCTTTGACCTGCTGGGCTTACACGAACCTTCTGTCTCAGTCTTCCAGCTGAGAACTACAGACGCATGCTCCCACACTCAGCTAGTTTTTCTGATTTATTGTAGAGACGAGCTTTCACCAAGTTGCCCAGGCTGGTCTTGAACTCCTGGGCTCAGGCAATCTTCTCACTTCGGCCTCCCAAAATGCTGGGATTACAGGCTGAGCCACTGCACCCAACGTTTTGTGTGTGTGTGTGTGTGTGTGTGTGTGTGTGTGTGTGTGTATGTGTGTGTGTGTGTGTACAATTATTTTATTTTTATTTCTTTATATATATGTTTGTTTTTTTATTTTTATTTTTTTCTTTTTCTTCCTTTTTCTTCCAAACCCTTGTGTCAAGGGCTGACTTTCTTTTTTTTTTTTTTTGAGTTGGAGTCTCACTCTGTCGCCCAGACTGGAGTGCAGTGGCAGCTCCTGGCCA